TCCTATCTTAGGCGCGCTCGCCCTCCCGAAATGGACCGCAGCCCGCGAGGCGCCGCGCAGCTGGCCTTCTCGTCCGAGAAGGCGTGTCGAGATGCGGTCGAGATGCGGTCGAGATGCGGTCGAGATGCGGTCGAGATGTGGTCGAGATGCGGTCGAGATGCGGTCGAGATGTGGGAGGCGACCCCCCCCCCCCCCCCCCTCTCCCTCTCTCTCCCACACACCGCTCACCCACGCGCACTGGGCCTTGCACTTTGAATGCCGCGGGGCTCCTGTCGTCCAGACGTGGAGTCGCGAGGGGCTAGCCTGGCCCTCGCCCCACCGCCTTGTGTGTGGGTGTGGGGGGGAGAACACCTAGATGAACACCTTGCCACGTGCCGCAGGTGTCAAGCCCTGTGGGCGCGACGACGTCATGGACGCTCAACAACCTGTTCGCGCGCGCGAACAACGCCCCGAAGCCGCAGCGAGCAGAGCCGCGAAGGAAGGAGCACAGGAAGGACTGAGGTGGTGCTCCGTTCTCGGTCGGAGGCATATCCCATTCAATGCGGTTGCGCTGGGAATCTCAGCGCGAGGCTGTGACTCGCCTAGCTCTTACATTTTGTTGTGGGTCCAACCGTGTTGCCGTGTTCTGCTGCTCGCAACGCAACCGGGGCACAAGGGTGGGTGAGTAGGCGGGGGAGACCTCGCATAAATCTGGAACTTCTCCTCCTCCCAGTCCCCTCGTGGGACGTCCCACACGCACACCCTCGGCACAAACGAAACGAGATGGCCACGCCGACGCCGCGCTCCGACGCATGTAAAGCGCTCCGACCGCCGCAGTGGCCGCTCAGCTTGGACGAGCATTTGTTCCTCGCCATCGGCGTAATCACCGGCCCGGCGAACCAGGGCCGCCGGCGCTGGCTGCGACAGCATGCGTTTGGCGATGTGGCGTTGCGCCGCCGAGAGGTCGTTGCACGCTTCGTGCTCTCTGCAGGCTCTGCTCGATGCGGCGAGGCGCAGCGCTACGGCGATATCGTGGCGCTCGCCGAAGCCACCGACGACGACGGGCCGAGGTACAGTCGTACCTGTCTCTCCACTTAGTCATCCCAACTCCTCGGGCGACCGCGCGGCTGCGCTACTCACAGGCAGTCTCCCTGCCCCAGCTGTTACAGGCACCACCCACCGACCAGTCTCGACGACGAGCCGTGGCAGGGCTCGCTGCTCCAGCTGCACAGCAGTACGCCACAACACAACATATTATCCAACATAACCTCTCCCTGAGTGCCCTACCCTTGCGGGCTCAGTTGCCGCATTAGGAGCCTTCGCACCGCGAGTGGGCTCAGGTGGGATCCACACAGAGAGAGGTTCAGTACAGAGCCGCACTCTACACACCTTATCCCCCTACTCGGGCGGCATCGTGGTGAGACCCTGGGCAGTCAGAGAGGCTGGCAGTAAGTGGCGGGCTATGAAGTCGGGCCTCTCCCGACCCGCCATCGTTGCCTAAGGGAGGATCCTATCGGCCACTAGACCATGACAGATCAGAGGCGTACACGCCCTGTCCCAGCTCCCCCACTCCTCACACTGGGTTTGCAGTGCGCGACCTCGCCACCTCGCTACCAGGGCAAACCCCCTCTCTCCCCCTAGGTGCTGCACTGGACGTCCATAGAAGGCGCGCGGCAGAGGCGGGAGGGAGGCGGGGAGAATCTAGCTCGCTCTGGCAGGGAGGCAAGGGTGTGATAGAGTGTTAGGGTGAGAACAGGCGGAGGGTGTGCGCCTGGACGCGAATTGGGAGGGCACTTGCGACGAGGCATGGTTTGGCGAGTGGCAGTCGCTGGTGCGGACTTGCTGAGTCGTGTGTGCTCCTTTTGCTTGCTAAGACTGGAACAATTTTTTTTGCGTGATCCTCGTCGCCAAGTACCAGGCCGCACACGCACCCGACGGTGTGCGTGGAGCACTAACCTCTATCTCGCTCTCCGCTCTCACACACCTCTCGTTCATCTCGTGCGATCTCGATAATTAAAATTTAATCGCCTGATAGAGGAGATAGAGGGAGATACGGGGAGATATGGGAGGTGCAGCTTGTGCTCAGGTCCTCGTGCTCGATCTCGGCTCATCTCGGCCAATCTCGGCTCATCTCGCCGATGCGCGTCCTCGCGCTCCTCTGGCCTGCGGGGGCTCGCTCTTTACAAGAATAGAAATGAGAATTGTGATCATACGAACAACAATGATGACTTGCACTCCTCGCGCTCCTCCGGCCTCCGGCCCGCGGGGGCTCAGTCGTCGATGAGCTGCTCCGCGACGCGCGCGAGGGAGGCGAGCGAGGAGGTGGATCCGGAGGACGCGACGGGCAGGTGGGTGCGCGATCCGCCGTACGACGCGCTGCGGTGTCCGAGTCGCTGGAGCGAGCCCGTCCGCCGCGCGACCTCGCGCAGCACCGCCTGGTGCTGCTCCACGCTGATGACGCCTTGCTCGACCGCCCAGTCGAGCGCGCCGAGGGCGGCCCCGTCGGTGCGCACGTCCGACCGCGAGAGCATCACGGCCTGGTTCTTGAGCCGCACCTAAACAGAGAACACCACGGTGAGACAGAACTCTCACACCCCCGGTTCTTGAGCCGCACCGTCAGCGTCATCGGCGAGCGAGGGGCGAAGACGGGCTGCAGCTGGAACGGCTCGCCGTCCACCTGCACCGGCAGCGGCACCGTCGACGAGATGGACAAGCACGAGCACTGCGCCAGCCTGGTCGCGCCGGTGAGCGACATCTGCGCCAGGCCCAGCTGCAGCACGCCGCGCACGGCGACGACCTCGAGCAGCCCGTCGGCCATCGAGGGCTCCGCCCACGGCGGAGACGCGTGCTCGGGGAGCCGGCCTCTCCCAAACTCCTCCCTCGCCACGTCCCAGCCCCTCGCCCCCTCCGCCGCCCAATCAGCACTCGGCCCGCCGCCGGCGCTGCGCGTGGGCGCGGCGGCGGCGGCGGCGGCGGCCGAGAGGCTGTCGGGCGCGGAGAGCGGCGAGGCGGCGGTGGCGGCGGCGGCGGCGGCGGCGGCGGCGGCGGCGGCGGCGCGTGGAGCGTCGCCGTGGGGTGGGGGGGCGGTGGGGAGGCCAGGAGGGGAGGAGGGACGGGAGCCTACTCTCGAGATTGCCCGAGATTACCCGAGATTGAGTCCCCGAGAGTACCAGGGGGGGGGGGGGCGGAGGGGCGGGAGCCGCTGCGAGGTGTGCCGGCGTCGTCCGGCGGCTCGTACCTAGAGGCCAACAATACAGAACGAATGATGGAGTCGTTCGTAGAGCGGTTCAACGTCGGCGTCGTCCGGCGGCGGCTCGTACCCGCCCCACAGGTCGGAGAGATGGGGAGATGCGGGGAGATCTGGGGAGATGCGTACCCGCCCCACAGGTCGGAGAGATGGGGAGATGCGGGGAGATCTGGGGAGATGCGTACCCGCCCCACAGGTCGGAGAGATGGGGAGATGCGGGGAGATCTGGGGAGATGCGTACCCGCCCCACAGGTCGGAGAGATGGGGAGATGCGGGGAGATCTGGGGAGATGCATACCCGCCCCACAGGTCGGAGAGATGGGGAGATGTGGGGAGATCTGGGGAGATGCGTACCCGCCCCACAGGTCGGAGAGATGGGGAGATGCGGGGAGATCTGGGGAGATGCGTACCCGCCCCACAGGTCGGAGAGATGGGGAGATGCGGGGAGATCTGGGGAGATGCGTACCCGCCCCACAGGTCGGAGAGATGGGGAGATGCGGGGAGATCTGGGGAGATGCGTACCCGCCCCACAGGTCGGAGAGATGGGGAGATGCGGGGAGATCTGGGGAGATGCGTACCCGCCCCACAGGTCGGAGAGATGGGGAGATGCGGGGAGATCTGGGGAGATGCGTACCCGCCCCACAGGTCGGAGAGATGGGGAGATGCGGGGAGATCTGGGGAGATGCGTACCCGCCCCACAGGTCGGAGAGATGGGGAGATGTGGGGAGATCTGGGGAGATGCGTACCCGCCCCACAGGTCGGAGCCTCCTCCATACGACGCGATGTTGAGCACGATGACGCCCTACATGTATCATGGCATATGTGTATGCGTGTATGCAGCACACATGCATACGTGCACATACACACACACATACACACATGCGTGTGTACCTGCGTACCCGGGGGCAGCTGCAGCCGCACGCCATCAGCCTAGAAGAAAGAAAAACGGCGTCAGAAAAAGAAATGGCGGTGGCGCAACCGCGCGCCGTCCGCCTCAAAGACGACGCGCTCGAGCAGCGAGTTGAAGGCGCCGCCCTGGAAGAGCTGCCGCGCGCCGTACCGCGCGTAGCGCAGCTTGTTGCGCAGCTGCGACGTGAAGAGGTGCGGCGCCATCTGCCGCCGCGTGTGCCAGTCGAGGGCCACCTTTGCGTCGGCCCCCCAATCATGAACTAATCTTACGAACTCGTGCTGAGTTCGTGCCGTGTGATCAGCTTTGCGTCGTCGCCGATCCCCAAGTCTTACTTGTTCGGGTGACCGGGCGAGCAATGAGTAAGCAAGGAGTAAGCAGCTAGTCCTCGCCTTCGCATCGACGCCGATCCCCATGTAGTTTTGGAGCGTGCGCGCGGGCGGGTCGCTGTTTGTCCTCCGCCCGATGCGCGCGTCTCCGAACCGGACCGTCCACCGGTCCAGCAGAGTGACTTGCGCGCGCTCCACGTCAGTCAGCAGCTCTACCAGCCGCGTGTGCGCGCCCCGCCGCCCGCCGCCGCCCCAGCCGAGCTCGCGCGCGAGGTCGTTGCCGGTGCCCAGGGGGAGGATGGCCACCTCGGAAGCAGAAAGAAGACTGCGTGTGGAGAAGGGAAGGTGTGGCGGGGTACCCGGTGCCGAGGGGGGAGGGTGGACACCGGCGGCGTATAGTCGAGGTGGAGTGAGTCGATCATCGCGAGGACCCACCCGACGGTGCCGTCGCCTAGTTCACAGCTAGACGTGTGTGTGAAGAGACGCCGTTCGCACCCCTCCTCCGTCTCCCGTCTCGACAGAGCCGTCGCCTCCGCAGACCAACACACGGAAGCGCCGGACGGTCCGGAAGGACTCGAGTGCCTACCGCACCAGCCGGGGAGCTGACGGCCGCGCTGGGTTCGACGACTCTGGGGGTATGGTGCGAGTGGAGCGCCTCCTCGAGGGTGGACTGGCCGAGGGTGAGGTCGACGACCTACGTGTACCATACCCTCAGAGTCTCGAACCCAGTGTGGGTTCAGCCCCGTGGGTGGTGCGGTAGCCGAGACTGGGCGCCCGGCCTGCGTGCCGAATACGCCAGCCTCTCTCGCAGGCGGAGCAGAGGCCCAGATCTCCCCATCTCTCCCCATCTCTCCCCATCTCTCCTCAGACCTCCCCAGATCTCCCCAGATCTCCCCAGATCTCGAGCCCCTAGAGCCGACGACCTGCTGTGGCGAGAGGAGCGAGCGGAGCTGCGCGAGCGCCGCCTGGCCCTGTCGCCCGCCCGACCCCGGGTTGACAAAGACAAGCAGCGGAGTCACGTCGTGCGCCGCGGCCACCGTCGGGTCGAACACAAACGCGTGCGGCGACGGGTGCGGCCGCTGCTTGCCGGACGGCGACCGAAGCAGGCTGGCAGCCTCGTGGCCGCGGGTGAGCACCCGCTGCACCACCGTGCTCCGCTCGCCCAGCGAGGAGGAGGGGGAGGGCGAAGTGGCTCCGCCGTCGCCGCTCCCGCCGCCGCCGCCGCCGCTCCCGCCACCACCGCCGCCGCTCCCGCCTCCGCCGCTCCTCCTGTCACCGCAGCTTCCGGCTGCGCTCGTGGGGGAGGTGTCTGCCGGTCGGAGGCGGATGGCCTCGGGCGGGAGGATCAGCCGCCGGATGTGCTGCCGCGCCGCCTCGGGCGGGTCGATCGTCCACAGCAGCTCCGCGCGGCTTGCCTCGGGCCACAGCAGCCGCACAAGCACCACGGCGGCGAGCGTGGCGAGGACGAGGAGCGCAGAGTGAAGGATCGGGTGCGGGTCGCTGCTCGAGGCGTGGTGCATGCCAAGCAGGTCCGACTCCATCGTGTGTATCGGTCCGAGGGCGTCGTCGTCGAGCGCAATAAACGGCGAGTCGACGCTATCAATTCACAGCCGCTCTCGAGGTTCTCTCGAACTTCTCGACGCGCGCCCGGTCGAGCCTTCGGCGGGCGCGCTGCGGTCGCACGCCTACCCAAGTCATATGCCACGGCGTGCGATCTAGATTCAGCACACGCGCCTCTGCTCGCAACCACTCATCCAATGAACTGTCGTCACCCATGAGTGCGAGTTAGGGCTAGCGGCTGGCCAATAGCCTGTGAGGAGGGCGTCCATAGACACCTCACAAGACCCCACACACGGTCTCGTCCGTGCCTTGCGGCCGGCGACGAGATTGCTAGAGGCGGAGCAAGCCTGCTCTAGTCTCACACGTTCGCCCCTGTCGCCTGTCTGTGTTGTTGGCCTGAGTGATGTGTACGCCCACTCAGGATGTGTGGCAGCCCGCTGGCTGTGTGTCTTGTGAGCTTGTTTGTGTCTGTGTGTCGCTCGTGCGTGTCGTCATCATCTGTCTTGCGTCCACCCATACCGCGTTGGTGTCCAGTCCGAGCCTGACTGTTCTTCACCTTACTACATACATACATACAGGTGTGTGCCATCGTCGCTTGGAACGCACACACGCACGCCGCATTCGTCGCCGGCGCGCGACAGGCTCCCGTCGGCCGGACTGCCCTCGACGAGTGGGTGTCGCCAACCAAAGCGACACGCACTCGAGGGTAGTGCCGACGGGACGCGGTTCGAGGGCGACTCTCGCGAAGGCACGGCTGGCAACCGTGGCGCGGGGCTCGCGTTCGACAAGACCGGGATCGCTCTACCGGCAAACCTCTCGCTGACATGCGCGCCCCGTCGAGCTGACGGCGGGCGCGCTGCGGTCGCACGCCAAGCCAAGTTATATGCCAATGGCATGCGACCTAGAATCGGCTCACGCGCCTCTACTCACATACGCTCACCCATAGAATTGTCACCGCCAGTGAGTGCGAGATAGGGCTAGCGGCTGGCGGCTAGCCCCTGAGGAGAGTGACCAGAGACACCTCACATGACCCCACGGTCTAGTCCGGCCTCGCGGTCGGCGGAGATTGCTAGAGGACGAGCAAGCCTGCTCTAGCCTCACGCGCTCGCCCCTGTCGTCTGTTGTGTTGTTGTGCCCTTGTTTGTTCCTTCGGCAACTTGGCTGAGGGAGGCGACAGGGGGGGGGCGCGGCCTTGAGTTATGTGTACGCCAACTCAGGGTGTGTGGCAGCCAGCTGGCTGTGTGTCTTGTGAGCTTGTTTGTGTCTCTGTGTCGCTCGTGGGTGTCGTCATCATCTGTCCCGCGTCCACCCATACCGCGTTGGTGTCCAGTCCGAGCCTGACTGTTGTTCATCTTTCTACATACATACAGGTGTTGTGTGCTTGTGTGTGTGTGTGTGTGTGTGTGTGTGTGTGTGTGTGTGTGTGTGTGTGTGTTGTGTGTGTGTGTATGTGTGTGTGTGTGTGTGTGTGTGTGTGTGTGTGTGTGTGTGTGCCGATGCGTGATTGTGTGTGGGCTGCTCCGAGGGGTGTGTGTGTGTGTGTGAAAGCGCCGTCGCAACTGCCATGTCGGCAGGTTGTATCTGTCAGGCCGCTGTGTGCTGTCGGGCTGTCGGGCGCAGCTGTCAGGCTGTCACGTTAGGGCCTGACAGCGACGGGACGCCTCTGATGTCAGGCTCTGCTGTCAGGCTGTCAGAGACGTGCTGTCAGACTGTCGGAGAAAGTGCTGTCAGCGCTGTCAGGCTGTCGGGCACTGTCAAGCGCTGTCCGGGGTTTGCTGTCAGGCTGTCAGACCTGGGCTCAGACGACCCTTTACACCGCCACCGTACCCAGGGACCACCCGCGACCCCCGCCGCCCGCGCACCACCCGCAAACCCCCGGATCCTCTCGACCCCGACTGTGCTCCAAGTGCTAATACGGCTCTATCGAGATTTGAGGATGAGCTCCAGACGGACCGCACACTGTCGGTATGTCGTACTGTCGGTGACACTGTACTGACTAAACTAGCCATTAAGGAGTCGACGAGAGGTGGAGGGGAGAGGAGAGGCGGAGCATGCACGGGGAGGAAACGCTAGGCATCCAAGGAGGATGAGAGGGAGCGGCAATCGGAGGAGAGGAGGCGAGCCGCGCCGGCGAGCTCCTACGTTGGTGTGTCGCGGTTGACTGCCGGCCCCACGCCCTTCGTGACGCCCTCGTACGCCACCAGCCCGCACAGCTCCGCCTGCCGCGCCGTCAGCTTTGGCGGCCCGCCCGCGAAGAAGTGTGCGAAGCGCGGCGCGCCGTCCGACGCGGCGGCCGGCGGCGCATGCCAGTGCTCGCGGCTCGGGTTGTGGTCTCCGGTGGCGGCGGTCTGGTACGCCTCCACCTGGAGGCGGAGGACCCGAGAGTACCCGAGAGGACCCGAGAGTCCCCGAGATTGGGCCTGGCACGCCTCCACCTTGAGGCGCGCCACGCGGCGCGGTGTCATGCTCGCCGGCCTCATCGACGCGTAGGCGACGGCGCGGAAGGTGCGGCACTCTGCGGCGGGCGGCGCCGCCGCGTGCGCCAGATCGCTGCGCCACAAGATCACGTCGCCGCGAGAGACGGGGACGCGCCTCGGCGAGAGCCCAGCGGCGCGCAGCGCGGCGAGGTCCGCGTCCGTGAGCGGCACCCACTGCGACCGCCCCCGCCACGTCCCTCCCACCTACTCACACCGCCACGCGGGCGCGGCTCGCGGCGCCTCTCTTCTTGCGGCACACCCGCGAGTACGCGCGGGTTGTCACCAGCGCCGGGTGAAGAGCGTGCGAGCCGGGCCAGCACTGGAAGCACGCGTCCTCGGCCGCCTGGTCGGTGAGGGCCGTCGCCGACTGCACAAACTGCAGCCCCGCCTCCGCCGCGCCCTGGTCAAAGTGCTCGCCGCAGGAGCGAGGCTGCGGCCGGCCGCAGACGTTTGGCGGCGGCCGGCCAGCTGCCGGGTGGGCGCGCCCTGCCGGCGAAGCGGTCGGGCGGCGGAAGGTGAAGCCTTCCTTGGAGGCGTGCAGCGCGGTTGTGCCAAAGAGGCGCGAGAAGACGCGCTCCGCAAGCCGCTCGCGCAGGCTGCCGAACAGCCAGCCCGCGCCGTGGTGCTGGAACATGTCGGCAAACGAGCGCCAGCCGGAGTGCGGCCACGGGTCTGGCTGTCCGTCGGCGGGCGGGTACCACGACTCGGGGTCGTCGCGGACCACGGCGGGCGAGACGGTCGTCACGAACCGCCAGAGCAGCTCCACCTCTGCGTCGCACTCCTGTGGCACAGTGGCGGTCGCTCGGAGCAGGCGCACTCGATCATCGCTTCCAGGGAGGGAGCGGGCGTCTCTCCCCCTACCTCGCACCTCGAGCGACTCTTTCGCCGCGAGGCACGGCACCTCTCCCCGCATCTCCCCGTATCTCCCCCTATCTCCCCATATCTCCCCCTATCTCGCCTCGCGCGAGAGCACGCCGCGAAGCACCATGTACCCGTCCCGCTGCAGCGCCTCGCGCGCCGCCGCCCCAAACTCACTGCCGGCGCAGAGGTGGCGCAGAAGCGCGTCGGGCGGCGCGGCCTCCTCCTCCTCCTCCTCCTCCTCCTCCTCCTCCTGCGCGTCCTCGTCGCAGGCACGCGCCACGCCGCCGCCGCGCGGGCAGATCTTGAGCACCTGGCGTGATTCACTTCTCAATGAATGAACGACTCAACGACCGCCGCGCGGGCGGACCGTGAGCACCCTCTTGCTGTTGAGAGGCACGCAGTACATCGCGCCGCCCCGCGACAGCACGCCGCCCTCCCACTTTTCGAACCCGAAGAAGGGGCCGCCGACGACGTCCACGGCGTCGCGCATCGGGTCCACGCGCAGCACCGCCGACGCCTGAGCGGTATGGCGTGGAGTAATTCACTCACCAACTAGTTAACGAACTGACCACTCAGCGCCGCCGACGCCTTTGAGCGGGATGGCGTGATTCATTGACTCACCAACGAATTAATTACTCCGCGCCGCCGACTAACTAATTAATTAAACGCCTTGAGCGGGATGGCGTGGATTAATTAATTAACTAACTCATTAATTAACTGACTAATTAATTAAACGCCTTGAGCGGGATGGCGTGCTCAATTAATTAACTAACTCATTAATTAAACGCCTTGAGCGGGATGGCGTGCTCAATTAATTAACTAACTAATTAATTAACTAACTCGTTAATTAAACGCCTTGAGCGGGATGGCGTAGATGAGCCCGTCGGGCGCCAGGAAGCCGTTCTGCCACTTGTTGCAGTTGAGGTTGACGTAGCAGTGCTCTGCGCGTGCCGAGATCTCGGGCCCGACCTCGACCGCTGACGCCGTCGCCGGGTCGATCCGCAAGACGTGGTCCGCGTCGGACGGGATGCAGTAGATGCGGCCTAGAAGGGTCCGAGAAGGGTCCGAGAAGGGTCCGAGAAGGCGTCGGACGGGACGCAGTAGAGGCGGCCGTCCGGCCCGAGCACGCCACCGAGGTACTTGTACTTTCGGTCGGTCCGGTGGTGGCAGCGGTACGAGAAGGGAATTAGGCTGACCGACTGGCTGAACGGGTCGATCTTGAGCACCTCGTCCGCGTGGGCTGGTATGCCGTAGATGCACCCGTCCGCCCCGACGACGCCGCCGTGCCACTTCCAGCCGCCGGGTGGGAGGGCGCCGAGTGTGCTGACCTGCTGCGTCCACGGGTTGATCTTGAGCACCGACGTGGCGCACTGAGGGATGCCGTAGATGCATCCGTCTCCTCCGAGAAGCCCCCCATACCACTTGTGCCGCCCCGTCGGCGACGCGCCCGGGAAGGGGCCTCCGAGCAGGCTGGTGGTGCCGGCGGCGGGGTCGAGGCGTAGCACCGCCTCTGCAAACTGCGGGATCGCGTAGATGCACTTGTCGTGCGGCGACAGCACCGCGCCGTGCCACTTCCACTCGCCCGGGTGCCGGTCGCCCACGAGCGAGAGGGCGGGCGGGTCGGAGGAGCAGTCGATCCGCAG